ACAGCAGAATAATACCAGGTTTACAGTTGAGAGGAGGCTTTGAAGCACATTTCTGCTGCAGCAAATAAAAGTGAATTATGCCACAGGTCTGAGCCTAGCAAGTCTTGTTAGGATGAGACATTTATTCCTCCAGATGTATGCAAAATGGCATGTAATTTGGCAGCGTTATGATTTGAAATGGGGAAAAAGTGTCTTTATCAATGAAGGTGGACATCTTCAAACAACGATGCAATGCTTGACCATGATTTATTTGCTACTGTATATAGTCTCCCTTTAGGAGGTTCCTGAGTTTGTTTTATAAAGGCCTTATATTTAAAGTGGTGCTGCACATATATAACTGATTTTTAGCATATAACCTTGCAGTTTTAAAGCCTCGTTCTTAAAATGTATTGATATTAACTTTGCGATAGCAGAAATATGCATCAGTTGAAAGAGTCAAACTTGTGGAAAGTAAGAGAAGAATAGTGATGCTTCTGTTGGGCCACAGACAGGATATCAATTTTAAACATTGTTGGAGCAGAATGAAGGTTTTGTTTTTCAGACTCTCCCTTTTCAGAGTCCCATCTGCAAGCAAGTCTTAAATGGACTGAGATTTGAAGGACATCCTCAGACCTCTTGTCGACCTTGCTATAAAAGCTCCTATGTCAGCCACATTAGGAAAGGATCATCTAAATAGGGCTATCCCCGTAGGCCAGGGGACCACATTCAATCTTTCAAAGTTTCCAAAAAGCCTCTTTCTGGTGTCTGCTGTGGTTATTTTGTCTGCATGGAAAAAACAGTACTTAACATTGAAGGACAGTTTAAAGAGGTACAGGTGTCTCTGCTTTGTTGTCCTGACTGCCACGAGATGAAGAGGATTTTGTCTTGAAAACAACTTTTTAAAAGAATGACTCAAAGATGGTCATAGAAGGCTCCTCTCTTGGATTCTTGTTAAGTCCATGTTATAGTCCATTCTATGTTCATATTCATTTCTGTAAGGAACGACATAATGTTTATGTAAAATTTGTAAATTCTGGAAGGTGTCAGCATTAGCAATTACATACTGTAGTAACCAATTTAGTTTCACTTGGATGAGGTGGTTAAAAAAATTCTGTTATTTCAGTAGCTAAGTTCACGTAGTGATTAATTCTGCTAATTATGTTGCTCTTCTCCTTTCAGCTAATAACACACTTTTAATATTGTAGCAGCTTGAGGTATTTTTTCAAACTAATGAAAAATATATTAATTCAGAAATGTTTGCTTAATTAAAATATATCATGTTCAAATGTAGTAGATTTAACTGTTAGTCACTAGTACATCTTGTTTTTGAGTGAAACCCTGAGATAGCTACAGTTTGTGTATGGTTTCTTTCTTCTACTCACTTTGTTTTTCACTGTAGTCTTGAAAACAGTGGAAGGATGTTGAATTTTCTTCATGTCACATAAATATCTTAAAAAGAATTGAGAGGATAATAGAGTGTTGGATTTTCCAGACCTTCTTTGACTCTTGAATGAACAAAAAAATGAAAAAACCCAAAGCCTGATTTTAGCAATCTCCTCCCTGATATATACGTTTTTGGGGAGCTAACAGAATGTGCCTTTATTAAACAATCAAAAAGGGGGAACCTCCAAACCTTGCAGAGACAGATGGTTCCTAATATGATTTAGGTCCAGAAAGTGAAAAGCCAGTACAGAGATTAGTTCCAACCATGTGCATTCCCAGCTTCTCATCACAGACTGGGGGCTAATCACCTTGTTAAGCTAACAGGATGAAGGAAAATTAGGCTGGGGTTTTACTTTCTGGACCTGGATTACACACCTCTGGTTATATTTCTAAACAAAACACTAGAGGAATTTTCAAAAAGTAAAAATTTAGATACCAAACTGTGCTTTAAATAAACTGCAACTATTATTATTATTTTTTTATTTTTTTACAGCGTTTTATTATCATGATACTATCACAAATACAAAGCAACGAAAATAACTCAGCATTTAACCCATCCCCTTGGGGAGCAGTGGGCTGCCATTGTGCTGCGCTAGGGGAGCAGTTTGGGGGGGTTGAGGGTCTTGTTCAGGGACCCAGAGATGTGGGGGCTTGATCTCAGAACCTCAGGATTCCAAGCGCAGTGCCCTAACCACTAGGTCGCCACTTCCCAAAGCAGGCATTAGCGCGAAGGGTCTTGCCTAAGGAACTACACTGGCAGTTCATTCCCCACCACTTGAGCTAAGCAGCCACTGTTAGAGGAAAAGAGAGAGGGATATAAGACAAAAGCACATAAACATTATGAATTACATGGTCATTATACTATGAACCATCCAATAACGATACCTTAGAAATACACTCCTCAAAAAAATTTAAGGAACACCTTATAATTAGAGTATAGCATCAAGTTAATTAAACTTCTGGGATATTGATTTAGTCAGGTAAGTAGCAGAGGGGGTTCTTTATCAGTTTCAGCTGCTTTGGTATTAATGAAATTAACAACAGGTGCACTAGAGGGGCAACAACTAGACGGCCATTAAAACAGGAATGGTTTAACAGGTGAAGGCCACTGACATTTTTCCCCTCCTCATCTTTTCTGACTCTTTTTCACCAGTTTTGTATTTGGCTATGGTCACTGTCACTACTGTTATCATAAGGCGCTACCTGGACCCTACAGAGGTTGCACAGGCAGTCCAACTCCTATGGAGGCATATCCATGGAGGGACGCACAGACCTATACAGGCTAGACAACGGCACACTGTATCGGGATGTGTAGCATTCAGATTTAGTTCTACATATGAATAATCTAGGAATACTTGCATCAAAGCGACACCTCCTGTATGCCGACCAAAGGTTGGTTTTAGTCAATCAAGGTAACAAGAAACCATGAAAACCACAACTTTTGGGCTTTTATGCTATCCTGTTTCCTGTTCAAAGGCAAAATTCTGGATTCTGACAAAGCAGAGGTGATAGCAGCAGCTACATGCATGTCCTCGTGCACTGACATTTTTTTTTTTTTTTTTTAGTTCGGCTGTAGACTCAGCAGCTCTTTTTATCATAGCTATATGTCCCACCATAAGCCATAACACTGCAACATGACTAAGCAATCCATATTCGGTCTGCATGCAATTGGTTTTCATGTGTTTGTTGATGCACGACGACAGCATTAATCAGCTTGCAGGCCAAGTTACTATATATGTTACCTCAATGTTTATCTATCCAATCAAAATCAACAGGGATTTAACAAAGAAACATCAACACCTTCCAAGTAATTTTTCTTGTTGGTTAAATGTTGCATATTTTAAATTAAATGTTATTCGAATTATAGGGGAATGGAACTGAAATAAACCCAATTTGAAATTAGGGAATATATTCTATTTGCTCATTCTGTGTTTGTTGCTTCAAACTGTAGTCCTCTTTTAAGTTTCCACTAGAGTTTCATGCATTACGTCATCTTTAGTTGGTCTGAAGAATCCAGCAGTCTGTGATCTCTCAGTAGGTGCAGCTGTTAGTTGTGATCCCCAGTGTCTTAGTCAAACAATAACCAACCTGTTATTGTAAACATATTTTATGTGGTGTAGTTTTCTAAAACAAATGTATTGTCTTATAGGATCACTTTTAACATTCTAGCTTTGTCTTTCAGAGCCTTACGTGGTCAGGCTGCTTCTTACATCAGTGATCTGATCCACCCTTACACCCTTGCGCGGGTTCTTAGGTCTGTGGACCAGAATCTGCTGAAGGTTCCACACACCTGTTTTCATACTAGAGGTGAACGTTCCTTTCAGGCTGTTGCTCCCAGGCTTTGGAATTATTGTCCGCCTTTATTGTTCTCAGTTGACTCTGTTGTTACCTTGAAGAGCTTACTTAAGATCCATGTATTTGTACAATTTCAATTAACTACCTTCTATGATGACGGCTATGATTTCCTATTGTTTTGGCCTTTTATATTTTCTGATGTTTTTAAACTGTGTTGTGAAGCACTTTGCAGCTTTGGTCTGTGAAAGGTGTTATATAACACTTACTTATTTACTTACTTACTTACTGGTAATGGTTTTTTTGCATGATGAGTGCATGCAAATTTTTAAACAAATTATGGTAATCCTATCCAAGGAATTAGCCGTTTATTTTGTTGAGTCATATTTCTATGCTCATCATTTAAGCCATGTACTGTTCCGTATGAAGCAGGTCCTTTGCCTCCCAAAGTGTATTATTGTTTTCTCCTTTAAGGAGAGACTTCGAAAGAGCCCTGAGATAATATTGGGAAGATAAGGTTTCATATTAAGGCCGCCCTGAGACCCCAAGTAATGATCATAATGCAAAGTGTGAAGTCAGATGGGGATAATAAACTCCCTTAGCTTAAAATGGAGAGCTTGTTAACTCGACAGATGCAGAGAGGACTTGATAAAAAAGGCAGGTCAAGGCATCAAAAGGCCTCCCCAATCAAATCAGCCAAGGCTGTTTATGCAAAAGAGTGCTCAGGGAAGAGCGCTGACCCAAATGAAAAGTGGTGAGTTAAAAAGTCAGAGCGAACAGCTAACCCAGTTTGACTACATTAAAAGAAAGTCCAGCCAATCTTGGCTACTTTTGATTTAGAGTTTTGAGCATCCAAGCATCTTCCTCTCTGATTTAATTCATTATGTATTTTTGAATGCCTCTCTCCTTTCAGAGGAATATTTGAGCTCCACGCAGCCATCCATAACCAGCCTCGGCCCATTTTAAGTTTCCTAGCTTGTTAGGACTCTTCATGAACACTCTTCACACTTTCCTTTCTTTGCAAGTGCTCTGTGGACTGTAAAGGTACTTTATAAATCAACTCATAGGAAGCGTTTTGAAACTCTCTTTTCCTTTACTCAATTAAGGAGAAATCCAGCATTAAGGCCAGCTCCTGCCCTCCAATCTCCCCCTTTTCCCACCTCCTGTCTTATTTCCTGTTAAAGTCTCCTTCGTCATCCTCTGCCTCCCTTTCTCTCCACTTTTCCTTTTTTTCTTCTCACCCCTTGCGTCTCATCCTTGTGTCCCTGCACTCTGTATCCCCACAGCTCTCAAGGACAGCCGGTTCCAGCTGGTGAATTTCTCTGACAACGAACTCCGGGTGTCTCTGTCCAACGTGTCGCTCTCCGACGAGGGACGCTATGTGTGCCAGCTCTACACAGATCCTCCTCAGGAAGCCTACGCAGACATCACTGTCCTGGGTAAGGTGTGAGCAAACACGTGCGAAGAAAAACACACACTCTCATTGTAAGCCGCTTCATTGTGAGGGGTGAATATGAAATAATAGTTATCTCTGATCTTGTTATCTTAAGCAACTGAAACAAAATGTCAGCCAATTAGGCTCTTGCGGTGCTCAACAGCATAACGAAAAGGAGCAGATGCTGAAACTGATGGCTCAGACCGTGTTGGTTTGGCAGCTGTGTTGACTCTGTGAATCCCGGTGAATGTTGACTTGGCTGCTCCAAACGATTTCCCATTGAGAGTCAGCTGTGCCACACTTTGATGCTTTGGAGAGAAATTACTTTAGTTAAGCTTTATTATACATGCAGACATCCTGGGGGATTGAAAGGAATTAAAAGCACTTTAAAGTAATTACTCTAGTTGTACGATTGAAACCTAGCTGCAGTTTTTTTATCTGAATCAAGGGTTGTATTGAAGAGTTCTTGAAATAAGTCCCTACAGTGACGTCTTGCTTTCAAGTATCTGAAGTCCATAAAGTTAGCGAGGATGACTAATACAGTACAGGGAAGGATAGAAAAATAGGCCTAATTCTGATTGTAAGTCAAAGTGAACATAGATAGGTTGCAATTTCGTAGATTTGTTTGCCTTAAAATGTTTTGGTTAAGCAGAAAATGATACTTAATAAGTGAAGGCACATGATTAATACTGAATATACTTTGATTTATTCCTGTATCGTATTCCTTTGGATTATATATATGGGAAATGTTGGAGTATGACAGCTTTATAATAAACTGATGTTTAGTCAATAAGGTGGATCTTTGTCCAAAGTTAGATCACAGAATCTCCAGTTGAAACTGGTTTTAAAAACATGAGTTATAGATAGAAATGTGTTCATTTTTGCACAACCTAAAGTAAACTGTAATTGCCATATTCCTATTTGTTATAACAGCTAAACTCCTTTTTTGCTGAAGCTACACTCTTCTAGATCAGTGAAAATGCTCTGACCTTATCTCCAGTCAAGTATGCAAAAGCAAGTTGGCTGATCCTCTTAGCCCCATGCTTAGAGTTCTGACTCCACTGAGGGTCAAGAAGCACCAGATGGAGCATCTTGAATCACACTCATGGGAAAAAATTAGGACATATAATTAAATAGACTCATTAAACAAGCTATAGATTTAAAGTAACAGTGGTTAAAATAGGTACATGTACTGACATGTTAACATTTGCTTACTTTAAAAAAATGTTCCATGTATGATGGAACTCCTCTTCATTTCCACACAGCATAAAAATAAAACATATTTCTATTTAATTCTATTAATATAAAATTAATGTCATCCAGAACCTTGAAAATCTACACACAGTCATGTCAAATAAAACACATAAAATTCATGGACTTTCTGAGAAAGAACTATTGGAAATTATATTTTGTTTATTTATTGTATTAGAATATACATTGAAATTATAGTTAATCCCTCTACATATCAAGTTATTGTTTAAAAAATCACTTATGGTGTGACTACAATTCAGTTCAATTTAGTGAATTCAGTTATTCAATCATGTTAATGACCAGGCCATTGTAGCAGTTTTACATTCTTTCCCTAAAGTTGCCTGGGTTGTTTTGAGGACTATTGCTATACTTGACAAAACCATATGACGGACCACAGCTTGTTCGTCCCACCAAAAAAAAAAAACTATTTTAGAAATTCTGTATTTTAGATGTGCAAAGGGGTGATGGTTTTGAAGCTACACCTTACCATATCGGAGCTTAGCAGCTGAGCAACTTCGCCTGCAGCTGCAGAGCACAAGCTCCCTGCATGGTAAAAGTCATTGCTGATGTAGTCACTGTGCTGCAGCTCGTTCTGTCCAGCTTGAAACGTCATTGGCCGTAATGTCAGTCAGTGAAAATGTCTGTAACCACAGATTGAAGCCTATATCTAAACAAATGGATAAAATGATATTGCAACATAAAAAAATATTGAATTATTATCCAGCCATTCTGTATATAGGGTATAGTTTTGTCACTAGACGTATAAGAAATATTTAAGCTAAGAATAACATTGATATGTTAGTGCTTTGTTGACCTGTTGTACCTGTTTATTGGACAGAATGATTTTTGTTTTATTAGAAACGCTTCTACACTGAAGTCTGTGGTAGTTGGATTTACAGCTAGAAGACTTGGTACAGTAGCATGTAGAATCCAGGAAAGCAAAGATATTTCATAGGAGATAAAAGTAATAGCACCTTACATCTCAAGTAGACACAATAGGATTTCTAAGTTTAGTTAATTTACTACTTTAAGGAATAAATTTCATTGTTGGTAATTGAAAAGATTTCCTTTTAAAGATGTAAAGACTACTCTACAGCATGTTAAACTGTGATATATGTAATAAATTAAAATGGTAAGACGCATATTGGAACAAAGAATTCTGACTTGATTGTTAACATTTAACTTTGATAAAAATCTTTGCAGTAATGCTGTTTTATAATAGTTTTTCCTTATGTTTTGAATTTTTTTTCCCTTTTTTTTAAATTAATGATATTAACTTCTTCAAAGCTGTCAAAGAGCCAAGCAAATACATATATACATACATATATCAATCTAACTTCAAGTTTAAAATACATTGTTGGTTTTAGTTTTCTTTCTGTGAGTTTATCAAATTATATATTTACATTTAAAAATAAAAATATTTTTATTCATTTTTCTGGTTTTCAGTAAATGTCCATGGGATAAAAATGATCCAGCAATGATTGTTGAGATATTATTTGCAAAAATGAACAATATGCTGTATAAAAAAAAAAGATCCTTTATTTATAGAGTTATTTGCTGCGTGAAAAAAAACTGAAAGAGAGTCAGTTTTATCCCAGAAACTGTCCCAAGCCTTTCTAATTTCTGTACCAATTGATCTTTATCACATTAATTACAACAGATGTTATCCTCCAGTTTTTCACAGAAGGAACATTTTGTAACTCTCGACAGGCTCAGTGACCCGCATCTGCAGGTCAGCATCCTGTTTACCGTCTTGCTTTGGCACTAAACATAACTATTGGCTGTGTAAACCGCACACAATATTATTATATCCTTATTTTAACAACTGCAACTATACACTCTTTTTTACTTTCACTTTTTTACAGTATGATTCTGACTTGACCACTTATTGTATTAGGATGCTAAAACTTCAAATAATTTGATTTATCATACAGTATTAAACCACAGCGCTCTGTGTTTTTACTGCACCTTTGGTAGATGTGTCCCAAAAAAAAAATATATATATAATAAATAAATAAAATGAATAAAAAACAGGCTGCTATGAAGACTCAGTTCCAACAAGAACCAGCAAAAGAAAAAAAAAATCTGACCCCACTCATTCATCCTACTGGCAGAGAAACATAAGGTCATTCACCTCCTTTGCAAAAAAGTCTATTTTTTTTCCATGAACTTTTTAATATTCCTCACACTGTAGCTTTGGGCAAGTTGATTTTATGTGATTTTCTTAACCTGTTTCTATTCTTATAAGGACCAACACATATTGTACCTATCTCACTGTATAGACATGTTCTATTGTCTTTCTGATTTTAAGGAGTAATTTAAATAAAGAGATTTCTAAAAAAGAAAAGATGAAACACAGTATATTTATAATCCAGTAAAGCAGGACATCATATACTGTATTTCTGACACATTTTGGACACCTTGAACAACTCATGCAATTAGTTTCCCAAACAAAATGCTTCCTTTTCATTCATTTTGTGGGAATTGTTAGAGGCACCAATAAATGTATTAATTTTATGTAAATTTTCCCAGTGTCAATTTAAGTTTGTGCTACAACAAAGGTACATTTTTGTAGGATGATTTAACTCCATTACCAGGGGTGCCAGTACTTGTATATGCCACTCCAATCAGTGTTTCTTAACAGTCTGAAAAAACCTAAAAATCACTGAATTATTTTTTTTTCACATTAAAATAATTCATAAAAATCTTTGTGATCTATTAATACTTTTCTGAAGGCCACTATCTAAAAGTGTGATCTTTCTAGTGATTGACAGTACTCACTTAAGTATCCATGCATCTTTGTTGAAATATCTGCCAAAGGTTATTTGTAAACTTTAAAATTTACATTTAAGAAATGTACGTAAAAACCCAGGAAATTTCAGTTTTAGTATTGAAGCCTATATCTTAATACAATATAAGAATACTTTTATATGATGAAGCAGTGGTTCCAAAAATGAAACATTATAGGCTTTGATAAGATAGAGTACTAGCACCAGCTGGAAAAGAAAAAAAAAAAATACTTGCCTTTACAATGGGAAGGTCATAGGACCGGCAAGTGTTATCATTGCCAAAGACATAAACTATTGATTGATGTAGCATACCTCATACTCACAATTATTGACACATGTATACCTGTGGTTTTATGATTACCTGTAAAGAATATAAGAACCAGGTTTGTGGGTTTCTATCTAAGTGTTTCTGTTACTTTGTGTCAGTCCCACCAGGCAGCCCAATCATTGAAAGCCGTGAGGATAAGGTCAGCGAGGGGAATGAGACGGAGCTCACCTGCATATCCATGGGCAGCAAGCCAGCCGCTTCCATCAGATGGATGAAGGGGGAGGATGAACTGACAGGTTAGTAGAATAACAGCCTCCCTCAGTCAGCTTCACATGCTCTCTGCCTGTCTGCTTCCGTACAGGTTAGTCTCTCTGGAGGTTCTTCCATTGTGAACAAAAAACGAGTTTTATAAACAAGATGTGTACAGATTATGTTGACTGGCATATGTACATGAGAAGATCATCTTGCCTGTCATATACAGTTGGAGACGCATAGTGTTAAATTCACTGCTGCTAACCCATGTTTTGCACTCCTTGCTCTAATTTTCTCCTAAATATAGATTTTCCTTGAAGTAACTTCCGTGGTGTAGATTTAATTTCAGGGATCAATGTTTGGATTTAAGAAAATGCATACGTATTTGCTAGAAAAATCTAGCTACACCTCGACTGCTGATGGAATATGTTTTAGAAAGTATTTTACTCTAAGACTTTCTTTTTGTTTCCAATCCAGGCGCTCGTGGTAAACACGGTTTATTTGCAAATTTGATCTTCCTTTCACCGCCTTCTGTTGCCTGCAGAAAGGGGTATATAATCTGAGAGCAATGACAAATCATACTACCTCTCAGTTATAATTAGGTGTTTTCTATTATTCATTACACATTTACAGCAATGACTAGTTTCATATTATTTACATTGTTATGATACAGAGTGAATGTCTTTGAGCTTGTTATAAAAATATATATTTATTGAATAAAAGGATACATTTGGCAGTTGAGAGATGAAATATTTAGACAAGAGCAAATCTGAAGCTAAATGCCATCTGTGCCTCCAGTGTTCCCTACAGGAGTCAAAGTCAATTTCTGTTTATGAGTTGTAGAGTGTTGTGTTGGGAAGGGAGAGACAACAGGATGGTTAGATCAGCAAAATGCCACTGACATGCTGAGCAGGGCTAATCCACAGTGGCAGTGCATACATAAAGCCAGATAGAAAGTCACGTCCTCTTGTACCCCAGGAAACACAAATCAGTTAGTGTTATGGATGTGCTAAACTATTCATTAGTCCCTGCGCATACTCACATTCCAAGGCAGACATCAGGGCCTCTCTCATCGCAGCTGTCTTAAACAAGGCAGTTATAATGAATATTAGATATGGTGCCCACATTTTACTCAAATCAGTTGATATTTTCTATCTGTACAGTTGTAACCTATGTTGTAATATAATCCACATTCAAATTGTATTACTGATTCTGTTCAAATTATACTATATGCATTCCTTAGTACATGACTAAGGCTTATTTTGCCAAAATTATATTCTAGAGTTGGATAAAATGCACCTCTGATCCGAAGCCATTTCGGTGCACTATCTACACAAGTAGGGCAGCGAACATCAGGAGCAGATTTAAGGTTTTCTGAATGTTTTTTTTTTTTTTTTTTGGGAGCATTCTTGATGACTAACAATATTGTTGGTGATGAATTGTCAGAGTGACATATATTCAGTAAATATATAAAAACAATTGAATGACACATGCAATATGTTCATAAAGATGCATTAGATTTGTCGCAAGTACAAAAAGGAAGAATTGCAAATTGTTTAATTGCTATTTAACTACTATCAACAAAATACTATTAACAAAATATTCTTTCCCAGATGGAATTTCGATTTCAGGAGGCATCTCATTGTGTTACTTGAGTGTAGAAAGAACTTCACATTAACAATTAATTGCTTTGGAATAAGATTTGACAACATAACAGAAACCAGTAGGTATGATACACATTTAATGAAGCACATAAAGTTGATCTATTTTCTAAATTTAAGATACTTTTATGTGAACTTGCTAGACGCGAAGTTGGAAGGCTACAGTTGGAACTTTTTTTTTAGATTCACCTTCAGTATTTTATTCTTATTTTTACTGCTGTTTTTTTGTCTTAGTCTTAAACAGCTTTAAGCTTTGATTGCTAACTGGCACTGCTGCAAAATATTCAATATTTATTCATCTAAATGCAATTAAATATTAAATATTGAATAATTGTTGATAAATGTAATTTCTATTCTGCACTCATATTTTTAATATTCTCCATGTATTGTGTTTTTTTCACTGTTGGCTTGGTTTATAAAAAGTTTATAAACTCCGGCAAGACGCCTTCTATCTAACACTTATAGACTTAGACTTATAGACATATAGCTGATAATTGAAAAAGTAAAGTGTGGCTGACAGAAGTTAACCTTTTAAAAGTTGTCTAAACTAAAAAGTAACCTGCTCTATTGCAACAAATCATTATGACAAAACTTTTAATTATGTCTCATATTTAGAAGGCTCATGTCCCTATATATTATTGGTAAAGGTATATTCCAAAAATGTCCTGGTCAGCAAAAAAGCTTTCTCTTTTCCACCTAAAAGGGTCTTCTGTCACTGCAAGAGTCAATATGTTTTTACTTTACTGTAATTCTGAGGCCCCACTGCAGCAGCTAACTGTACAACTTCATTTTCAGACTCCAGATCAACTAATAGGGCTCATATTTTCTCTTTTTTATAGCAGTTAGCTGTATATATATTTATACACATTGTGTCTATTTTCAGCAGATTTACTTATGCTAGAGCTTCACTTGTCTGAGCCTTTTTGAAACAGCTTGATCACAGACTGCCCAGGAGTGCATTGGCAGCAGGAGGACTCGGGTTAGAATCTCAGTGAAAGAAAATGTCACCCTGAGAAGAGGCCATGCTTGATTGCTATGGGATTGATCACTACTTGATGCTCACAAGAGCATTTGATTTGGCATCTCTGGTGCAACTCTAAAAATCTCCTCTGCATTCAGATTTGAGTCCTTCTCTGACCTGATCCACAGTGGTTTCCTCTCCTTTGGGTGGTTAATTGACAAGAAGTAAATGGTTTGAGTTTTGATATATGTGTTTCAGAGCCTTCTTAAATTATCTTCTGTTCTAACCCTTTTCTCTTATTTCAAAGTAAGTTTTTGATTTTATTTGTATTGAATGTTATATTTTTACTTTAAGTTAAAATCCTGATGGATATTACTATTTGCACCATGTTCAGGGGTACCACAGCATATCATTATGACCTGCTAACAGACTTTTTACATCGGATGCTCCTCCTGGCGCAATATTATTCTTAATTATAAATTTTACTGAAAAGACAAATAGTATATAAATAATTGCTTTATGAATTTTGATGGGTCTAAAATTTATACATTTAACACCTACTCTAAAGGATTTTCACCAAAACAAGTCGTAGGTTAAATGAGGAGGAGTTACGATGTTACCAGAGCCTACTAGCTCTGAGAAATGGCCTCGCCGCATTTCTTTTGTTGTCATTAAAGGTGTGGTGGAGGATTTTCAAAAAATTTTTAAAAGACCTCTCCACTTTAAAAAAAAATGCATATGGACAACCCTGTACTGCTACCGAGACGGAACACCTATTAAACGCATGCGAGAGCATGCACAAGCCCCCTTCTCCTTGTTTTACTAGCAGTGATGTGAAATGCATTTCTCCAAATAAACTTTACCTGTCGAGTAGAAATGTTGCAACCTGACCCATTTTCTCTTACGACCTTCTGCCATTTTCAAAGAACCGCAGTGAGAAAGACGAGCTTCAATGACTGTCTGACTGTATCTCACCACAAATATACGCCTCAAATTGCGCATATGCACAAAAAGATAGATAACTGGGGAAGCACATAGGACGGCCTACGTAAACAAATAAACAGAATGATTGACAATTAGAAGGACCACTTATTCTGATGATCCACCTGGAAAAAGAAAATCCTCCACTACACCTTTAAGGTTTCCACTTTTCTTCTGGGCTGGTAGGTTAAATGTTTACTCATGCTGGCAACTGGCTAGCAGACAGTATATTTGAGGTTAAGAACAAGAGCAGACGTGAGTGCACCACTTACTGGCGAGGAGGAGTTTAGCTTGTAGCAATCTCCTTTAAACCACTTCACCATAGTGACTTTATCTTACAGAGTATTATTGTCATGGTTTTGGTTATATTGTGCTTTACTTTGCTCTATGTTCCCTATTTTTATTGGTTTAATTCCTTTTTTGTTGTAATTTCTAGATTTGTTAGTTCTCATGTTTTTCTGTTGTCCTCTGTAGCCCTCTTGTGTGTGTGTGTGTTCCTTTCCCCTTGGCTCCCTTGTTGTCTCCTCTCACACCTGCTCCTTGTCAGCTCGTTAGCCCTCCCTTTGTCCCTGTCAGCTATATATGCTCTCCCTCTGCTCTCACTCTTTGTTGGTTCCTTGTTGTTGCTGGTCCTGTCTTCGCTGTAGTCGTCTCCCCTCGTCTCTCCCTGGCTCCTTGTTCGTGTTTTCCCTTGATGTCTCCATGGTTCTGGTCTGTTACATTTTTAGTTGGATTTTTGGACTGCCTTTGTTTACCATTTTCATTAAACCTAGAAGTATTCACCTCAGCCTCTCTGCCTCTGCATTTGGGTCCTCCAAACCTCAACCAAGATGTGACAATTATAACCCTGCAAAAAAGCTTTTTGGTTTGTCCCAAATTGCTCATTACATTTCTTATGACTTTTTTTAAGAGTCACTTTCTACTTGTTTTTTTTTCTGTAAACGGAAGATTTAAGGAATTAATCATTTGTTGTTGTATTTACTAGAGTAATCACATTTAAAAGCAACTCATCAAACCTGATTTTATCAAATTTGTTGTGTTAAACTATCCTACTGGTATCTGAATCTGAATCTTAAAACAAAACGATTGAAAATTTAAAAGGGCTTAATTGAAATGTATGCTTCCCTTTTCTTAATTGAATTTTGAAAAAATAAATAAATGAAGCAACCTCATAATTACTACTTTAATTACTTTCTGTTAATGTCTCACATCCAATCATCAAAAGAAAAACTTTAGCTTAACAAAATTTGGAAAAAAAGTTAAAAGGTGGGGAAGTGTTTTTTTTAAGTTTCTGTAGTCCCTTTAAAATAGCATTATTACAGAAGTGTTGTAACTCACTGTTATTAGCTGTTCTAACAAAGTTGTTTCTTTAGTGATATTCAGGTTCTGCCTGCTACAGTTAACAACCAGAAAAGCAAGTCATCAAATAACATGAATATTTTATTGCTTCGGTATGTGCACTACGTTCTTTAATGTCTTTCTTCAATTCGACAAGAAAAAAAGTGAAAGGCTCCCAGTTTTAGGAATGAAAAGAGATTTGTTTACTGTTATTACTTCACCAAGTGTGCTTTTCAAACACCATGATCTCTCTCTGCAGTTGGTAGAGTCATCAAATTTAATGCCTACAAGAGCAGTGGCCACTCACTGATCCCGGTGCTTTAAATTTTATGTTAGTAGGCCTTTCATGGGTGGGTGTATTGAGGGTTAATATCCATCAAGGGGTCATATACGTGTGTGTTGGTGATCATCAGCTGTGGAACAACGCATTCTTGCCCTCCGTAGGTCTAGGCCAGTCTCCCCTGTGAAAAGACTGAAATGGAAGTGTGCCGCAGGTCAACGTTAGGCTGTAATTATTTCCTCACTTCATTAAGTGCGAGTAAACCATCACACTCAGCACTGCGGCTAATGCGATGCCCCTCTGGCATTGTAATGCTCTCTAAATGAATGCCCCTTTGACAGCCTCGGGCCTAGTGGGCAGCAGATTACTGCAGGGTGAGCCCCAACAATGCTCCAGCCTCGAGCTGCTCAAGCAATCATTATTGGGCTTGATATGACCCAGCCGCTCTGTGCTGCTCTCGTCAGAATCGAAGGCCTCAGGCTCGTCTGAATCCTCTGAAGTCTCGTTCGGGTACCACATCACCGAATCATAAATTAAATGTAAATGCCATCTTAAAGTACTTCACTTTGACAGGTAATATGCTCTTAATAGCTATGACTATTTGCCCATTACAGCCACTGCTGCAGCAGCAGCAGCTTCTGCTGCTGCAGAGGGATTGGAGATTTGATTTTGAAGTTTTCAGCCAGTGACTTTTATTTCCTCTCCTGCCTGTGCTGGTTTTTCCAGGTGAAACAACAGTTGAGGAGAACTATGACAGGATGTTTACCATCACCAGCCGGGTGAGGTTTTCTGTCACCAAGGAGGATGATGGAGTGCCAGTGGACTGTATCGTTGACCATCCAGCTGTAAAGGACCTACTGGCTCAAAGACACTTGGAAGTGCTCTGTAAGTGACCCAAAAATGCATGTTTTTAAAGAGTGTGAACCACACTGCCAAAAACAGCATAATGCTTGTCCCAAAGTAAAGGTCAGGACAGTCCAGTTTTCTTTTTTAAAGCATAATCTTGTGACCCCTGAGGAGTATGGAGGACAAAATTACATGAATAATTATAAAATGAATAAATGTGAATGTTGTACTAAATGGATGAATGTATCATTAAATCTCCCATTAGATGACGAACCATTTATCTAGCTGATACAGTACAAATGATATACTATTACATTCAGTAATTCACACTTAGATTAAAAGTAAATGTTCTATTATAAAGTTAGATATATATTCTTTACCATATAATTAAATTGTCCAAATTATATTAAAGAAATAATTTATTTCACTCTATAGTTTATAGTGAAATATTTATATGTATTTTTAAGGGGTTGCAAGGTTACCAAGTAGGGAGTCATCCATTTCTGCCAGGGTTATTTTAGTGGTCAAAGGCTAAATGATTGGAAACTGATGTTTGGGAGAGGAGAAACTTCTTGGTATTAATGTGTTTAAAAGGCTTAAAGAGTTCGGCTATAAACTCTAAAAATAATCTGCTGCCATTGTAATCAATTGAAACATTTGTACTGTCTTCATAAGCTGGTGGTGTGCTACAGCCATCCGTCAATATTTGACATGATCCTATTTTTGCTTTACACACGAGTCAGCTGGGAACAATGCAGCAACAGGAAACTGAACAACCGCAACATCCATATTGTCCAAATGACTTATTAAACACTAAAGATTTTCTTTAGGGTCTATCTACAGCAGGTAAATCAATCAATGCACATACATATATATCTCTGCTGTCTAAGTTAATGATTCATGCTTAACCCAATACCAAGTAAATACACAGCAAGTAGTGTCAATACTGATACTGATACCAATGCTTTTCACATTTCGGTTTGTTAGATCATTACACTTCTGATATTTAAATGTTACTGTGTTTTATCCTTTGGACAATGTTTATAGGAGGCTACTGCGATTTTATAAGTTAGTATTAATATGATAAACCGAAGAAATAGAAACACTAAACAAAACTGTGTGTTTCTTAAATACACAAAATGTGAAACATAATTTGATACCATATCATAAATAAATCTTTCTCATATAGAGAGCCAATAAACTAAGAAAGAAAAATAACAAGTTCACCCAATCAATTAAAGTTTTTTCTTTATTATTTTTAAATAAAAAAGTGGTAGAAAATTAGCAAATTACAATAACTGAAAATCAAAGAAAACTTTCCAGAAGCCTTAGAGTGGGGCTTTCCTGCTGTACAGGAAAAATTAAAACAGGCAGAGTTAGTTTGGGCTTGTAAATTCTGCTGATATTTCTGAGGCTACAAATATTACGATTTAAGTGGATCATTGCCAGCTGCTCAGAAACTGAGTTGCACTACATTCTACGTACAGAAGATGTTTTTACTTTTTCAAGAACAACTTATGTCCCTGACAGGGTTAGGATTAGGCCAAAAAATAATTATTCAAATATATTGTTATATATTATATTATTATATATGTTATATTATATATATTATATTATATATGTATATCAGTAATTCCAGTAGAATCCACATAATCTAGTTCTAAGATGGGTGTGCTTTGGTTGTGTGGTTAGCGGGCATGGCCCATTTATGGATGCCTTACTCCTTGACGTGGCTAACTTGAGTTTAAATGAAACCTGTGGTCCTTTGCCACACGTCTCTCCCCCTCATACCCCTTTCCTGTCGGCCTGCTGTTGAAAAAAAAAAGCCACTACTGCAGTAAAAACTGAGAAAAAAAAATCTTTCTCTAAGATGATTTGTCCATTTTAGCTCTAATTTATTGTAATGCCTAAATACTTAAATCCTCTCACTTGTGTGTCTGAAAGTCCAGATTTTTTTTTTTTTGTTTGTTTTTTTTTTTGTATCTGAAATGTGCATTTGAGAGCTTGGAAAATACTTTTACCATTTAATCATGGCTTTAATTTCAATAATTTATTTTTTTTGTTGATTTAAGTGTAAATTCAGTATAATAGTTGTATATTCCTGTAAATACAATACAATAATAATTATACATCAAATAAAATAGCTTCATGATGTTTCAGATCTTTTTGATTGATTTTGTTTTTAGATTTTTGCCAAATCAAATGCTCTTGTGAGCATTTTTTGAGATTTTTGATTGATTTTTTCTATTTATTGATTAAAGAGGTAATATTTGCCTTCTGCCACTGTTAGGCATCAAAGAAAGGTTAAGATAGTCTTTTGTAATCTGTGTCGAATATTTTTTTTTTAAGGTAGATAACTGTTTTGTCTGACCTTTTAAGGAAAAAGAGAAAGGTTGACTGTAACCGCTTGACATTTTGGTAATCTTTTGCGTCCACAGATAAGAGAGTCAAAAAAAAAATCACACTTTGCTTTGAGGTGGAGCAAACTGAGTGTATGTGTAATGAGAACATCGAATAATCCTTTATTACTTACAGCTGTTTTTTTATCTTTAGGTTTTCTTTATTGTTTCATTTTTCTGCAAGTTTCACTCTGTAGAAATAAATAATCTGTAACTCACTGTTACTTACACTATTTAGCTTCCATTTGCCATTTGTCTATTTTTAGATAAACCCGAGGTGAAGATTGTTGTAACTTATCCTGATGGATTAACAAGAGAGGGCGACAATCTTGATTTGACATGTATCGCTGAGGGGAAACCGCAGTGAGTTTTCACACATGGATTAACTTAAGCACTGGATTTTTATTTATGTTTAGTTGTTGTATCCTGTCCAGCAATCCACTTAATGTTTTTTTATTCACTGTACCATTAAAGCAGTTGTTCAAATGCTGCACCACATTAGTGATCTCACCCTCCTCTGTCGATCTTAGATTTGACCTTTATTTCAGATTTCTAGCATGGATAGACAGCGTCTGAGTGATGCGTGTGGCATTTGTGCTCTCTAGGCCCAATCAGATCAACTGGCTTAGAGTGGACGAAGATGTGCCTCCTCATGCTGTGGTCACCGGCTCTGATCTTTACATTGAGAACCTGAATAAGTCGTATAACGGCACCTATCGCTGTGTGGCATCTAATGCTGTCGGAGAGGCTTATGATGACTACACCCTCTATGTGTACGGTATGTATTAGTCATGATAAAGCTTGGTATTAGCTTCCTTAACTCTTGAGGTCTGTGACACTGTTTGTACAGTATTAATATAAAGCTTGAGAGGCTTTGGTATTTTGGAAATTATGCTAAAATAATAGAATCTTTTGACAGTTTTCCTTTATCAGATTTTCATTTAACAATCTCAGACATTTTGGAAAAATGAAAGCTCAAACTTTTAAAAATGGGTTTGGTCAACTTAGCATAGTGCACTGCAATAGTATTCACATTTAAAGGGCAATTTCACATCATGTCCAAGGACAACTTATCACTGTGTGGGCTTAAGCCAAAATGATTGAAAATCAACATATTAGTTTTTGTAGCAAAAAAGGAATCTGAAAGATTTGACAACAAACTTTGAATGCTATTATATCTCTAAGTTATTTATCTCTCACTTTCTTCCTTCCTTTAGTTTTCAAACTGTAAGGTGAATCACTTAGTTGTTTTACCACGATGTTGCAACAGAAACAGTAAGATAAATTGAATTTTTGCCTGCGTTAGTTAAAAAAAAAAGTTGAAAACTTAAATCTTAAAAAAAAAAAAAGAAACTTTCAACACAAGAAAAACTAAAGTATTGAATGTGAGATTTATTTTTTAATATCAACAGAAGGGCAGCATATAAACCAAGTGGAACTGCTGCACAAAAACAGCATGTTTTGCCATATGCTCTGCAGTTAGCAGGCCCAGAGGGAGTCTGAGATGTGGACAGGTCATATTTATACAAAAATATGGAAAATGCTGTTCACAAGCTTTCAAGCACCACTGCAGTCTTAAACCTTTCAGCCCTACCAAACACCGCCCTGCGCGACTTGAGGCAATTAATCAGAGTTCACATGGTTCCCTCTGGAGCTGCCTAATAATTAATATGACTGTGTACCTGTAATGGTCTGTTTGTTAGCATTTGAATTGTTATGGGTTTTTTTTTCTCTTTCAGTTTCCTTTGAGGCACTTTGGTCATTACTTTTTCAATAATGTCTCAAATGTGCTCAGAAATGTACAAGTCTTTGCTGTACCCAGTATGTTGCTTTTAATTATTAAGTATTTTACCGCTGAGAGCAGCTTTGCTCTCATGCATAGTTTACTTTTTGTGAACTTCTAATAAGTTTACTCAGATGACTGTCATTAACTTGCCTATACAGGTGCGTAACAGTAAATTGGAGTATAATTGACAGAAGAATGTTGTATGACATCAATTAGAAATTAATCTTTCAAGCAAAGGACAGACTACCTAAATGTTAGTTCATATGTTGCACATTAAATACGCTCAAAATCTGGTAAGGGTTGCATGAATTTCTGCATTAGTTTAATATGCCACTAAGGTAAATAGCCTTAGACCAGGTTACCTTAATAATGGCCTTCAGCTTGTCTGATTTGTTTGGTCCTGTGTCTCTCTTTTCTAGTCATTCTTCGTAAATCCTTTAGGGTGTTTAGGCCAAGTCTGTTTCCTTTTCTGTCAATTAAAGTTTGAAAAAAGAAAACTTTATCCTTGCACTGGATCTCAAACAGCTTGCATTCTGTGCTCAAGATCCTCCATTTTCAAATTAAAATGCCCTTTCTCTCTTTTTCCCTTTTTAATAGAGGACTTTAGATCATGGAGTAATAGTTCTGGTTGTTTTTAGTCCTTAGCTCAGATAAAAAAGTTCAGATAAAACTGTGACATAACTGGCCCTAAGGGGCAGTGCAGTATTTGCCGTCTATGTCTTAGATACATCTTTGAAGCAGTCCTCCAGCTACCTTTTAAATGGATTTTACATTCATGTCAAGTGATGTTATCCTTATAGCTGTGCCCCTTTTTTCTATCAAACTTTTCCCTTTACCAAACTTTAATATATAAAATATATGTTGCTTCTTTAGTCTCTTTGAGACTAACACTTACACCAGTCTGCCCTTTGATTGTATAACACAGTGTATAGCATAACGTTTCATTTGTATAATATTAATAATAATTATAATATTGGTTACCAACATTGTTATTATTACTATTCGTATTGTATATAGTAAATCTGTTTATAGTTCATTCTTTGTTTTTTGTTCTGTTTAGAAACAAAATTGCCATAACATGATAATTCTGCTTTTCCATAAAACTTGAATGTTATATTGAGCTTGAAACTAAAAAAAATTGGGGAAAAAAAAAACAGATGCAGAGATATGTTGCTTATATTTTCTAAAAAAAACAGAGTTTAGGTCTTAGATTCTAACCACAATCATCCAAATTAACAGTAATAAATACATAAATAAATACAAAAATGTGCCCTGAATGCAATAGGTTACTAAAAGCAAAAATAGCTATCTTTTAAAATGCAGTTCTAAATGATATATTTAAAGTTTAATCTGTTGTCTGAGCTTTTTTTTGTTCACAAACAACTTTTAAAGGGCAACATAGAGACCATCTCTCCTGAGGCATGAATTTCAATGAGCTGTCAATTGGCTAACCTCTCTTCATTTAGGCCTCATTTTCTTCAAATCATAACACGACTGCCATTATTTTCACAGCTGTGTTCATGCTATTGTTTTGTTTTTTAACCCATAACTACAAAACAATTTTAAAACACAGCAAATTAATCACTGAAACAATTACTGTGATCTTTGGAGAATTTACTTGATCAATTTATAGAAGCAAATTTGTTTTTTTGCAACTGCAAAAAAGTTTTTGAAAGACACCAATAATCTTTGCTCTTGAATTCCCTAAGGGGAGTAAGCAGGAGTTAATTATTTGAAATTTTTAAAGCACAAAACGACCCAGTAATGTAACATCATGGAAGCGCACTCCTCCTCGGACCTTAATTTCCTGTTTTTACTGACTGGCAGGGGTTTATTGAGATCAGAGGAAAAAAATAAATTTCCAGCAGCTGCAGCCCTTGTTGGCATGTTTAGTTTTCTCTCTGTGTATCATCCTGCTGTTTTGCATTTTTCTCCCAACTTGTCAGCTGGTGTGCCAAAACCATTCTCTGCCAGTGACAGTACCGGAAACCTGCGATTGGAAATTTATCTGATGTTGAGGTTCCAAAAAATCTGTAGAAATAAAAATTTTTTTTCAATATTTAGTTTCATTTTTTATTTTACTTCCCTAATTTTTTTTAGAAGCCATTGTGGAAAAAATGCAAATAAATGCAAAATGCACATTAAAAACAGCTGCCTGCTAATATTTAGCAGAAGGATGTTAAGGTCTGTATTATGTAAAATTAATAATTTAAGTTTTTAACTATATGATAATTTATGCCTTCATCAAAATTGTCTCAGACTTTGTTAGCTGTTCTAAAGTAGAGCCTATTTAACAGAAATTGAGTTATACCATGCTGCAGCGGCTTTAGGCCAACTTGGGGAAAGGTGCCACTGCAACCAAGGCAAGTGACTTTCATAACAAATGAATACTTCACTCTGTAGAAAACAATATTTCATCATACATATTTGTATAGTTGACTTTGTAAGTCTTAAAAGAAGTCATAGCCTGGTAGTTTACATGTACCATTCTACACAGGCAGCAGTGCTTGCCCACTGCCTGCAGGCGAGTCCATGATTGTTGGAATCACCCCTTTTGGTGGAATAGATTTAGGCATGAAGACAACAGGGTGGACTGTAGTTAGCGCCTTATAGTATTGATGGTAATATTAATACGGTACTCACACTTTGTGAAGAGCACGCTTTTCTGGTTTAAATAAGGCACCCCTACACAAAAAAAAAAAAAAAATGCACGTTTACATTCCCGACTTTCCAGCAAGTTTAAACTAAAGCTCAATACCAACACACACGTTTCACATGAAAAAGTGAGATTTGCAGGTGATGCTTCATTTAAAGACAACAAGCAGCTCACAAGACCCTTATGGATATAATTAAACCAAGGATCATGACATTGCCTGGTATGGCGCAGCCAGGGCCCTACCCTAGAGCCAGGCCTGGGGTTGGGGCTTGCATACGAGCACCTGGTGGCCAGGTCTTTGCCCACGGGGCTTGGCCGGGCCCAGCCCGAACAGACAACGTGAGCCCGCCCTCCTGTGGACCCACCACCCGCATAGGGATCCGTAGGGGTCAGGTGCAGAGAGGACTGGGTGGCGGTCGAATCGGGGTGCCACAATGGCCCAGTCTGTTCACAGCTTCTGGCTGTAGGGACATGGAACGTCACCTCACTGGGGGAAAAGGAGCCTGAGCTTGTGTGTGAGGTTGAGGGGTACCGGCTGGATATATTTGGGCTCACCTCTACGCACAGTTCCGGATCCCATCTCCTGGAGAGAGGCTGGACTCTCCACTTCTCTGGTGTTGCCCACGGGGAGAGGTGGCGAGCTGTGATGGCCTCACTCATTGCTCCCCATCTCAGTTGTCACATGTTGGAGTTCACCCGAGTGAACGACAGGGTCGCGGAAAAGTCTTTCACCGTTTTCTCAGCCTATGAACCCAACATTGGTACAGAGTACCCGGCCCTCTTGGAGTGCTTGGGAGGGATACTAGATAGTGCTCCAACTGGGGACTCTATTGTTCTACTGGGGGGCTTCAATGCCCACATGGTCAGTGACAGTAAGACCAGGACAGGGGTGATCGCTAGGTGCAACCTCGATGATCTGAACCCAGGCGGTGTTCTGTTGTTGGACTTCTGTGCTAATCACAGTTTGTCCATAACGAACACCATGATTGAGCACAAGGGGTTCATAAGTGCATGTGGCACCAGGATGCCCTAGGTCGGAGGTCGATGATCGACTTTGTAGTTGTGTCATTTGATCTCCGGTCGTGTGTCTCGGACACTCGGGTAAAGAGAGAGGCCGAGCTGTCAACCGATCACCACCTTGTGTTAAACTGAATCCACTGGCAGGGGAGACCTGGCAGGCCTAAGCATGTTGTGAGGGTATGTTAGGAACATCTGGGGGATGCCTTTGTTAGCGCTGTCTTCAAATCCCACCTCTGGACGAGTTTATCCCAGATCCTGAGGGAGGTAGGAGACATGGAGTCGGAGTGGTCCATGTTCTCCTCATCCATTATTGATG